CAATCAAAAGAGGTAGGAGACCAGAATGAAAAGTCATTCAAAAAAAAGTAAGTGATTGAGCTACCATTAGTGTGCACAATTCAACACCTCCAAAGTGCAATTGCATAATCCTTTAACCTTAAGGGCTTTCTATAATGACCTCTATGTTAGGATAATTTTAGCTACTGTGGCAAAGTAATTTCTCAAGCCTGTAACTTAATAGAGCAAAAGTTTACAGTCTGCTACGGTTTGGTTAAGTGTTTCCCAAGGTCGCCATGTTAATAGCTTGGCCCTCAGCCCACGGCATTATGGGGAGGTGGTGAAACCTTTGAGAAATGGGGCCTCTTTGGAGGAAGTTAGGTCATTGGGGGTGTGGCCTTGAAGAGGAGATGGAATAACCAGCCTCTTCCTCTTTACCTTTGACTTCTTGGCCACCATGAGGTAAGAAAATGCCTGTACCACTAGTTCAGGCATGATGTACCGCCTCATCAGGGTTCCTGAAACAATGGAACCAACTGACTGTGCATTAGAACCTCCAAAGCTCTCCTTCTTGTAAACTTTTCTCTCCATAGGCTGATTGTCTTGGATATTTTGTCACAGTGTCAAAAAATCAACATATGGACTCATCTAATGGTATAGGTGCAACTAACCAAGAGGTTCCTTTCCTCCACATATAATTTTCAGATCATGGGCTTCTCATATTTTCAGGCTTCATCATGTCTTTCAGATTTTAGAGTCCTTCACATATAAAGAAAAAGAGAAAGAAGGTATAGGTGTCAGGCTTACTGTTTAACAGCCTTGTACTCAAGTAACACACTGTATTTCCACTGGATCATTGAGAACTAGCCTGATGGCCCTATGTGGATGCAAAGGAACCTGGGGTGGCCACATCCCAGGAACAGCTCAAGACTGCAGAAGAAGTATTAGTTTTTGGTGGATTATCAGTCATTTTCCCCACATATCCAAAACACAAACTTACACAAGTGTTATTAGATTTTAATACTAAATATCAATTTTATATATAGTCAACTCATATTTAATACTTAAAGTATAATAGGATCAGCGCAAAATCTACACTTGATAGAAAGCTAGTCTTTAAAGAGCTTATTGTCAAAGAAAAGAAAACATATGTGACGTACAAAGGCAGCACAGAATAGTAGAAGATATACACTGTACACTACTAGATGTTTTGCTCTCTTGGATCGTGTTTGAACAATTGCACCCTCTCTAGGCTTTTGAAGTGTCACATCAAGTAAGGTGTTTACTGTCTTTTAACTTCAAAATCATTTGCTTCCTCAATTATAAATTAGTCTACAAATAATAAACAAGAACACAAGCACATAGCCATTATTCTTAATCTCTACATTTGATGAATTAATAGTAAGCTTTTAGTGTTCAAACTGTGATGGATTTAAGCAAATAAGATGCGTTCTCTCACCTTTGCACTGAGCAAACATCAAAGGATAATACTCAGATGCTAAATGGTTTCATCTGGGTAATGTACATGTAAAATCACTGAGAGTGGGATGATGCAATTCTACCTCAAGCCTCCACAGCTATATAGAAGGCGTTTGTTGAAGTGAGTTGAATAAATTTTGTAGGAATCTTTGTTGAATTAGTGAAATGTAGTAAGTTTATTTACCATAGGGATATGTGTGAGATTCTTTCTAACTCAATATATTTTTTAATGTGTTGGGGAAAGATGCAGACCTCAAAACATACTCATAAAATTTTAAGATGATCCTAGCTTGGGAAGAGTACCAAACACCAGGGACACCAGAAATATAAAATATAATCCAAGGAAGTTAGAGCTGTCTACATAAAAAGAAACTTGGCCTTCAAAAATGTAAATGACTTCATGAAGAAAATGTGGTGTGAACTCTTCCCAGGCAGGGAATAAAAGAAATCTGGAGTATAAGGGTGATAACAATTTTAAAATTAAATCCCTGTTTAACGTGAAATAGTTATAAACAGAACCAGAGCTCTTTTGGCTTGAATTCAGAGAGCTTTATGTAATAAATGAGCTAGGAACTTAGTTGTCTTTATGTAATATTGAAGATTTTCTAAGTTTCAAGGGCTTTAATTTCAACCATTCTCATTAGAAATAAGAGCTAAAATATTAATTTGAAAATGAATCAAAATGAATAGCAATAAAACCAATTGCTAATAATAGTAAGTCTTGTTAGTGTGTACCTTTCACAGTGTACACCTATTATTAGCTTTCTGATCAAATTCTTGAAGTATTTACTGTATTGCCTATACTATCCAATTCAATTCTCAGAACCACATTTGAGGTGGAGATTTTCCCAGTGATGAGACATTCAAAGATTTCATATAACTTGTCAATGTAGCCTGCCAGTCCAAGTTATCCTGCCAAATTCCATACTTAGATAAAAACATAAAATAATGTTTAATTAAAAATTTCAGGGAATATTTTAACTATTGTGAGAAGAAATTTATTGTGAAACTGTTTTTTGTGTTATGCCATGATACATGATATTCAGGTGCCCTAGACACCTGAGCCTCCTTTTCTTGAGGTATGCTGCTCACATAAGATTGAAGAGCATTCACATCTATTTATCCTATCTTGCTATCTCAAATTCAAAAGGCCTCTCCCTACTTACAGATGCTGGAGTGAGAAGGAAAACAGTGGAGAGTTTGTTTCCACCATATAAGCAGCATCCATATTTATCCCTCTGTTGGCTGAGTGTCTTGTGCAGATAAATTCATTTCTTTGGGTGCATTTTCCTTAATAAGATGGGGTTAATATCATCTATCTCTTAAAGTCAGAATAAAAGGAGATGATGCTTGGGACACAGTGAGTGTTTAGTGAATGGGGAGTACTACTGATGAGTGATTACTGTCATATATATCCTTTTTTTTGTTTGTTTTTTTCTCCGGTACCGGGAACCGAACTCACGACCTTGCGCTTGCCAGGCAGGCGCTTTTGCCGCTGAGCTAAATCCCCAGCCCCTCATATATATTCTTATAGGAGAATATCCATGGTTTCATTTGAAAAAAGATTGAGAGCTTGACATGAAGAATGCCGTGGTGCCAGGTGTTCCTCCGCTGCAGCCTACATTGTGTTGCTCATCTTTGCCTCTTTTCCTCTTTGTCCTTCGGGTTTCCTCTGTGCTGTGCTTGGCTCCACCCCACCACACTTTTGCTCATACTTCTTACTCATGAGGACAAAACACATGTCCTATGCAGCTTTTTATCTCATCACAACAACTACCTGAACCGTAGATAAAGTTAGAATGTTCATTTAAACAACCACCAAAAAACCCCAAAACCTCAGTTTTAGAAGAGAAAAATTAATAATTCATGGCATAAACTTTATTCATTTAGTTCATGCTTTATGTCTTAGATCAAGATAGGAATTGATATATTAAATATTCTGATTACTTTTATTCTGGAATGAAATCTTAGATAATTTAATATAGAATGCTTATAAGACAGAAACTAAAGTTTAACAACTATTGAATTTTATGAAGCCTTAGGCAAAAATCATGTTCAGATCAAACAAGTTTTCTGTGATGGCAGAGAAAAGTTAGAAAGAGGAATCTTCGAGAATCATTGGTAAAAGTCACAGTCGACAGTCTTTTAAAATACTGTCATAATTTACAACATAGGATACATAAAATTAACACACAACTAAAGATGACAAAACATTTAGTATGTTTATTTGCTTCCTGCATTTTTCCACTGTACTGCCATCTTGCTATTATTTGTAACAGTTTAAGTGAAAGGTTTTTATTGAGTGTTCCAGTCCCTGAATGAAAGAGAAGAGAATACAGTTTGAGTTAATAGCCGAGGTGGGTGGACAGGCCTGTACACATGTACACACATAGCTATCCTCAAATAAGCATTTAGTTTGCATCAAATGGCTCATTCTCCATCTTGATAAAGATTGAATCAGCCTTCCCATTTTGACAATGAAAGCTACTTCAGGATATAATAACAATCCAATAGGAAAAAAGTGGTCCTGGTGATAATCATCAGAACATCCAGAGTAAAGATGAGGAAATAAGCTAGTTCCAAGTGGTGATGATTAACATTTGCACACATGTGGAAGAAAGATGGTGAGGGAATTGAAGGCTTTGTGGTCAAAAAGTCCTTTGTGAGGAGAAAGTGTTACATACCTGTGCACAGGATAAGGAAACTGAAATACATGTGAGACTTTGTGTTTATTATATTATTACATTTATTTCATAGTTCTGCCCTCTCTGGATTGCTTCAAATAAATATCTTAACTGATTAATTATAAAGTGTTTGGTCCAAAGGTCAAGACAAAGTGACACCACTGAGAAAGAGAAAGAAAGAAGATATTAATCCAGATTCTCACCTCAAGTCTTGCTATAAAGCTGCTCCTAATCTGCATTATTTATAACAGCCTCACATTCTTGGTTACTTTCTCATTGTTGAGACACAACACCTGACATCCACAATGAGGAAAGGTTCATTACGGTGCACAGCTCGTAGAGGTGTCAGTCCATAGCTGGTTTGCTCTAATGCAGGATGGCATGACAGAGCAGTGTGGCAGAAGAGGGTTTCACATGGCACAGAAACAGAGAAAGATCAAAGGACAAGAAAGAGAAATAGATCCTTCCAGGTCATGCCCCCAGTGATCCACCTCTTCCAACCAGGCTTCATCTCCCAACATCATATTCAGCTACAAACTCATCCACTGAAGAGTATTACATCTCCATTATGCAATCAGCTCTCCAAAACCCACCTGTGAGCTCATGAGGCTTTGGGGGAACATCTAGATGTAAATCATAACACTTATTCTCAAAGGTTACATTCTAGGAACTAGAAGCTGTCCTATTATAATTTTCCATGTTGTTCTTTCATTAGCAAAGGGCACTTGTCTGCTCCAGCTCTTGTGATTTCATCTCCATTCCAGTTAGGAGAAAGGAAGAAGACCAGAGAGCCACTCATTTTCCACTTTATTTTATTTATTTATTTATCTATGGAACCAGGAATCAAACTCAGGACCTTGAACTTGCAAGGCAGCCACTTGTGCCACTGAGCTACATCTCTGGCCCTTTTTTCTCTTCCATTTTCCACTTTAGAGTCTCACATTCTTCCTGGCTTCTCATTGACTAAAACTTAGTCACATGACCACACCAGGCTGCAAGATGGCCTGGAAAATGTAGTTCTTTCACAGAGCAATTTGCTGCCTTGAGATTAATCTCTTCCATCTCTGTCCCCTTTATCTAAGAAAAGAGAAGGGGAATGGATACAGGAGTAAGTAACCCGAAATCTGTAACCCAGTGGATCACTGTTACTGTTTTTTATTGGTGTTTCACTTCTGTAGATGAACCGTATAACAAGCATTACATTATAATTTCTCAGACATCAAAGCAAGTATAAGCCACAGAACCAAAATTCCTTACCTTCTTATTGGTTGGAAAATGCAAATCACTGTCATCAGACCAAGGGAAAAATTTTGTCTTCATTAAGGGGAAAAAAAGACTAGTTGCAACTAATAAGGTACTTTTGAGACATTAACAAAAGGCTTCCTGTTTTTGGATAAATGCTGGCCTACATCTAGACATTGGTTTAATAACTTAAGTGGAATTGGCATTCAGATCCCATCTGCTCCTGTGGGCAAGTCTTTAAACCTGCATATCCATGCATGTGCTCTGGCAGGCATCTTACTCTTCAACAACTGGATGGATCTTACATAGCTGTGTTTTGTCTTCAGTTACCATTGCCAAAACTCTTTGCTTCTGGGTGACTGGGTACCCCTCACCCCACTGAGCCCCTGAGGCCGCAGTAGAAAATGTAGGCTCTGTAGCTGAAAAGCATCTGTTATGTTCTATTCTCCCTTTCATCTCAGTTCTTCTTACACCTCTTTCTCCCTCATTCATCTCTAAGTTCTGTGAGTCATGATGTTTTACATATTGTTTCATTTGCATCTCTCAAATGCATCCATTTCTTCCCCAGTCCTACTCAACCTGAATTATGACCAGTGATTCCAGGCTCAAAGTGTTTATCTTCCTGGGAATATGGGGAAACGTATTTTTGATTGTTACAACTAAGAGAAGGGGTGCTACTGGTCTTAGTGGGTAAAGGCCTGGGGTGCTGCTCAGCATCATATGGGGTGCAGGACAGTCCCCATAGCAAAGAGCACTCTAGCCCAAATGTCACAGACCGAGGTTGAAGAACTCTGTTTAGGGTGTGACCAACACTGCTGCAACAGATTTCAACCTGGTCTGCATGCCGCCAGGTCCTCTCCTGTCAAATCTATGCTATTATATCATCAGAAGATCTTTATACACGCAAAGTCCGATATCGAGATGACATTCATCTGCTTAAAATGCTGGAGTAGATCCTCATTATTTGAGGATCAACATCAAATAATTTTTTGTTGCTTTTTTAAAAAATTGTATTGGTACATCTTAGGTATACGTAATGACAACATTCATCAGGGATTCTGTGCGTGTACATGATAGACTGTGCTCTTTTTTCCCCATTCCCCTCCCCTGCCTTCACCCACTTTTCCCCTGCTTATTTATAAAAACATTGTTTCTATTTTTTCCTTCTATTCTCTTTATTTTTTCCCCTTCCTTCCTTTCCCTCCTGCCTTTCTTATTCCCCTTCCCATTTGAACTTTTTTGCCCATTTTCCAATATCTGTAGTATATTTTCATAGCATACAAATTTAGGGGAGTTAATACTATCTTCCCTAGCTTTTGCCATCACTAGAACCACACTACTGTCCTAGTCTCACCTGGATTTCCCCCAAACGCTGGGTTTTCATTTTCCAAGGTTCAGAAGACCTTTCCCCTCCTCATTTTCTTACACTAACTCCCACTTGGCATTCACACTCTCATCTAGATTTCCCCGGGGAAAGACTAGGTTTTCTTCCTTTGAGTTCCCTTAGCATCTGTCCATTCTTCTTTTATGGCAATTATTACAGAACTTACCTTTTACGTTATCATCTATTTGTTTGTCTTCCTGATGAGTCTAAAAGAACATTTTAGGTACTTAGAAACAAATCAAGGGCTTTGCACATACTAAGAAAGTGCCGTATTGCAGCCCCTGTGCCCTGAAATATTCTTAAGAGTAGGATTGGGTATATTCGTCTATGTGTTTCTCTGAATTGTTTAGTACACTTTCAGAAAAAACTAATAGTCAACAAACATCTGTTGGATCATCCACCCATCCTGTAGGTAACTATTCTGAATCACAAGGAAACTGAGGACCTATGGTAGATGATAATGCATGTCCAGCTGTTACATATCTGGATGTTCCTCCAAAGCCTCATGTGCTCAGAGGCAGGGACTTATGCAAAGTGATTTCATCATAAGGGCTCTGTACTGGGCTTGATGTTAAAAGGTAGGCCCTTGTTGGAAGCAGAGGGTCACTGTGAGCATGACCTGAAAGGGTGCATCTCCCTCCTCGGCCCTTCCCTTCTCTCTCTGCTGTCTGGCTACTGTGACATGAGTAGTTTCCCTCTGCTCAGGCCCTTGCACCCTGCCACCTGACCACACATGGCTGACATTTCTAATACCTGGACCAAAATAAAGCTCTCCTCCTTTAAATTGTGAGGGCTAGGCACTTCATTCCAGCAACAAGTGACAAAATGACAAAGATGCGTTTCAAAATGTGGTCCTATTCTTCCATTCCCTATCATGGTGACTCCATCAACTGAATAGACCTGTAGCTCTTGATGTTGCCTCTGCTTTGCTGAGAATCATGCCCATCATCTAACACAGACTTTAGGTATCTGTCAGCTCATCCACACTTACTTTCATCTGTCCTGTTATCACCATGTGACCCCAGTTGCACTTGCTCCTGACTTTGTTTACCGCAATATTCTTTAGCTGGTCTATGACGAGATCACTACCTGCCCTTTCTCTACTTTCCCTCTTTGCCTCCTTGCAGAATATGTTTCTCACTCCCTTCAGTGGCATATATAAGCCTTTGTGACGTGGGCTTCTCCCAATACATCCAACGTCCCTCAGTCACACTCTTCTCTCTCTTTAATCTTGAGCTTTCCTTCAGACCTTTGTGGTGTCTTTTTTTTATCACAAGACCTTTGTATATTCTTTTCTCTATGTTGTAATACCATATTTTCTGTTGCGATTTATTCTTCAGCTCTTCTTTCAAGCTACCCTTTCAAAGAACAAGTTTTTCTGACTCACAGAAATTTCCTTAATATATGTTGTCATAACTTCATGTAGTATTCTTTTGAAGCACTTACCCACAATGGCAGTTTTACATGTATTTGTGTGATTGTATGATCGATGTCTGCTTATTCATATGCACCATAAGGTTAGAGATTGTTTACTCATGCTCACCATTGTGGACTTGTCCCAATAGGTGCCAAACAAATATACTGAAAAGAAAAAAGGGGGAAGGGAAGAATGAAGGAAGAAAGGAATACACATGGCAGCTAGGAAAGAGACCTATTTTCTTTATTTTATTTTCTCTATAGTTCCAGACACAATACTTTCTATATGGAAAGCTCACAGTGACTTTTGAATGCAGGGACCATTGTATCAAAATGAACTGTGCAGACTGGAGTTGGGAAATCAAATTTATTCCATGGTTCCAGACATATCACTAAACGTGCTGAGCTGTCCATTTGGGAATAGTTCTGATTTAGTGGACTAGTTTAGAATTAGTGGAGTGACATCCTAGTGCCAGAACTGAAATTTTTTCTTTGTCTTCTTGCTCCTGACATACTGCTCACTACATAAATTAGCTGGAAATGTATATTAGCCTTTCAAGAAATGAATTCATTGTCCCAAAATTGTGGCTGGGAAGATATAGAAGCAATTTCATGTCTCATTAAGATTCTGAACTGGAGTTTGTAGTTCAGTGGGAAAGCACTCTCCTAGCACGTACAAGGCCTTGATCCACAGAACCACATAAAAGGAAACAAATGAGCTATAAAAATCAAGACACAAAATCTAGCCAGGCAAGTTGGTACCTGACTATAATCCCAGTACTTGGGAGGCTGGGGCAGTAGGACCACCATGAGTTTGAGGCCATGCTAGTGTATTTAGTGAGTTCAAGGCCAGCCTAGCTATGTAATGAGACTCTGTCTCAAGAAAAAAATAAAAACAGTGAAAAACAAAAATCATTAAAATCATGATAATCAAATGAAGAAAAAACTTGAAAAGAAAGGACTCTGAAGTCCACACAGGTAAATAAAAAGAGTTGAAGATTCTAGTACCTCTGTTCTTGACTTGGGTTCTGGAGGCCTCTGACTAGCCTGGGGTCACTACACAAATCTGAAGCTCTCAGACTGATCCTCAAACTGAACACAGAAAATATTTTCTTTATAATACCTAACATAGCATGAGGTGTTGGACAGAGTAAGAGCACAGCCATTTTTAAATGCATATGCAGTTGAGCCCAGGCCCTTACTGGAAATTAAACTGAAGTGCATGCACATGCTAAGTACATATTCTTCTACTGAGCTACATACTCAGCCTTGTAGTTAAAATTCACAGCACGCAATATCACTGCTCTTGAATTCCTTCTTGTGATCTTCATAGTAACTGAGCAAAAGGAAAGAATTATGCTCCATTTTCGTTACAGGGGTTTCCCAAATTATACATCTGTGAATTCTCCTGGTTCAGTCGCTTTTCTGTTTTTCACACTTCCTATCTTAGACTAAAACTCACTGCATTATAGATCTCAACCCTAGTGCTATTCTGGAAAAATATATAACTCCCTGGACTCTGCCTCCTTAGAACTCAGAACATATCTGCCTTGCTTTGTGGTGAAATATTGGACTCTGTCTGGGCTTGCTTAGTTGTGTAATATCTTCCAACTTTCCCTTTGGCTAATGTGAGTATCTTCAGGCTCTTTCTTGGATCAGAGAATCTTGAATCTTGAAACTTATTAGGGAAGCTTTAAAACAATCTCCCAGTGATGGTTAAATTTAATTGCCCATTTGATTGGTGTGGGAGCTGCCTAAGGTATCAGCAAACACACTTCTGAGTGTATCTGGTGAGTGATAGAGGCATGACTATAGCGTCTGTATATGATCCTTGGCCCTTTTTTTCTCTGTTGCTGTTCCACTTCTCTGTTTCTCAGCCACCATGAACTAAGCACATTTGCCCCTCAACAACTCTCCACTGTTATGTTTCTGCCTTAGAGCCAGTTAACTATGGACTGAGCCCTCTGAAATGGTGAGCCAAAATTAACCTTTCCTTCTTTAATTTGTGAGTATTGTATGGTTTGTCTAAGCAATGGAAAAACTAACTAATATACAAGCTTTCTGAAGGCTGAGTTCTGACTCTTACTACCCTACCAAAGAACCAGCTGGCCATGTCCAAGTGTTATACTAAAACACCTGGGAGGTTATGTACCTTTGTCAAATTTATCCTCTCTTAAGATTTAAGCATTTTCCAGAGCACAAGCCTTCCAGATACAAAATACCCCAGGAAGATCCAGGTGACAGGATTCACACAGATGTCTAACAGGACTCACTATTTTTTTTAAAAATCCCAATTCAGTTCTTTTTTTAACAACATTTTGACTAAACATCATTTTTCAAACCAAAAAATATGAAGGGGACATTATTTCTCTAGAAGGATTGAAAATTGTTTAGAGCCTTTGGAACAGATGAAAACACAAAGAGAATGAGTCGATTACAGTAAGCCCCATGATTATGCTTGTAAACTCTGACATCAAGGTATTAAGAACTGATGCTGTGTTCTCTTTTGTGTTTGTTGGATGTTTCTGGCTCAAGTTTTCTTATAGTGGTGCACTGACTATATCCATCCAGGGACTATGGTTACCTGAAGCCTGGGCTGGGGCAGACAGCCCTTCTCAGATGGTTCACCCACTCCTGCTCTTGGCAGGAGTCCTCTGTGCCCTGCTACTTAGTCATCTCCACAGCACATCAGCACATGGTAGCTGGCTTTTCCCCTGGCCAAGAATGCGAAAGAAAACCAGTGGGAAGTCACAGTGCCATTTATTCACTCAGACACGCTTATTTTTTTCTATCCTTTAAGGATAGAAAAGAAGGAAGCATCCCTTCTTTCCCAGAATGAATGTAAAGAAACTGTAGATGTATTTTTAAATGCTACAACTTTGTGAGTATGTATGTATGTGTGGTGCTGAAGTTTGAACCCAGGGCCTTTGCATTGAGCTACATTCCCAGCCTTTGTTCAATTTTTTGTTTCAAGACAAAATTGCATTATGTCACTAAATTGCCTAGGCTGAGCTTGAATTTGCAATCCTCCAGCCTCCCAGAGTGCTGAAGTTACAGGCACGTGTGCCTGCCTGGCTCATGTTTTGTTTATTGTTTTCAGGTACATTTCAGAAATATTTATTTATTTATTTATTTATTGTCTTTTTTTGAGGTAAGGTCTCACTGTCCAGTTCAAGCTGGTCTTGAGCTCACTTTGTGGCTCAGGATAGTCTTGAACTCACAACAATCCTCTTGCCTCAGCCTCCTGAGTACTGGGATTACAGGTGTGCACCACCATGCCTGGCAATCAGAAATATTTATAGGAATGCTAATTTACCTTAAAATTCATAGAAAGTAGTGCTGGAAAATTAATTTCCTATCTTTCTTTAAATTCAGGGTATTTGATTCCAAAATAATTGCATTAATTTAATAACCTCTTTTTCTGGTTTATAATAGTGAAGTTTAAGTATTAATAAATTTCTCAAAGGCTTCTATTGGAATTTTTTAAAAGAACTAATTTAACTCTACAGATCTATAGCATTTTTAAACTAAACTAATCATATTTGAAGCTTTAAGTGGAAGTATTCTATCCACTTCAGGAGATTAAATTCCCATGTTGTAACTCAATAGGTCAAAATAAGATGAGGTAATCACTGAGGTAGGCAGTTGTACAGGAGTAAATCAAAATCAGACTCAATTGGAATGGGATAGGAAGTTAGCTCTGATGAAAAGGAGTCATAGATTAGGAAGAAGATTATTAATCTGTGCATAAAAAACATATATCAGGGTCTGGAAAGTCATAGTAGCCATGTTTAAAGTAAACAAATGGAGTAGGTTACGGATTGTGACAATAGTTTTGACCTGAAGTCCTGAAAGACTTGAAGGTAAATAGGCTGGCTTTCCTGTAGGTGTGTCTTTATCTCGTTTGTCCTCATCTTATCAAACTCTGATAATCTTTTTTAAAATTGAATTGACAAATTTTTATTGAGTGCTTTGTTTGTAGCTAGTACTTGCTGGACATTGTGAATGCAATAGTAAGACAAATAGACCAGGGTCCTCAAGTAGTGTGTAGTTTTGTGGAAGAAACAGAAGATTTACCATGTCTTTAGGATGTGGAAAGTCGGAGTACCATGATACAGGGTACCATGAAACCACACAATGGCAAAGAACCATGCTTGGAGGGATGTAGAAGGCTTCCCAGAAGAATCCACTAGTTCTACAGTTAACTAAGTCTTCATATTCGCAGAGGATTGGACTATTTAAGTCCTTGTAATTTTATGTACTTTTTGTGTGTGTGCGTGTGTGCACACGCATGCACATGTGTTTGTATTTGTGTGCAGAGTCCTTGCAGCTCAAACTCTCGGGGCACTTTTTGAATTTCTCTGTCTTTAATATTTCAACACTGAATACTCCAGGGTTGGAACATTGGACCACTTCTCTTTTTTATCCACACTTGTTCTCTTGGTGATTCCATTCATTTTCACAAACTCCAAATAATGTGGACTCCCAAATTAATAACTACCTGGCTACCTATTATTCTTCTAAAAATATTAACATATCCCAAACTGGGATCTTTGCACCCTCCTTTTCCTCCAGTCCCTGTTCCTTTTTAATCTAACCATCCCTGCATTTTGAAATCCAATTATTCCCATTGTTTACACCAAAATTGTTAGTCATCTTTGGATTCTTTCTTGCATATCTATTAATGAAACTTCCAGACCTATTTTCAATATTTATTCAGAACCTGACCCCATCTCTTCTACTGCTGCAACCTTAGTCTAAGCCACCATCACTACTCACCTGGATTATTGCAATAGTCTCCTAACAGGCTTTATTCTCCATTTATTCCAACATAGAAGCCACGGATTCCTGTTAAAATATCATGCCACTTTTCTTTAGGGACTATCAGTACATTCACATCTCACATAGAGCCTTAAGTAAAGACTTTCTCATAATCTATGAGTGCCTATATGATCTCAACTCCCTGCACCCCCGTGCCTGTCTTCCTCTCTCGCAGATACTCTGCTCATCTCAAACACATCAGTTCTTGCCTTGGTGACTTTCTTTTTCTTTGGTGCAACACTGAATCCTTTTCCCCAACATATGAGCCTGACTTGCTCCCCAACCTCCTAGAAATCTGTCCCAAAGCTTGCTTCTTTGATAAAGCTTCTCTGATCACCCTACCCAAAATGACACTTCTCTACTCCCTCTTCTTTGCTTCATTTTACTCTATAGAATTTAACACACACACACACACACACACACACACACACACACACACACTGCTGTCTTGCTCACTAGAAGATGAATTACACTGAGCAGGGACTTTTGCTATTTAGGTTGTATCTCTAGTGGAGACAAGAGCACTGGGAACCTGACAAGTGTACAATTAACATCTGTTAATGAACGACCTTCTGTCATTCCTATCTGTCCATGAATGACCTTCCTATCTCAGACAATTTTCTGCTTACCAAGGTTGGTCCGCTGTGCTCCAAACCAGTCTTTGCTAGTCCTGCTCATAACGTTGGTCTTCCAAGGATCTCTTTTCATTTCTATTACCTCCTTTCCAGGGAGCTTGTGACCCTGACTCTGCTCAAAATTTCCTCATCCTAATGTAAATGAGCAAGTATATAAAATCTTCTCCTCCTTACCATTTTAAGCAGGCATTCTCTTTCCTTTAAGTCATTGCCAAACCACCCAATGGATTTTTGGAGGAAGAAATAAATCTATATTCCATGCCCCTCCTTCCTTCTCAGTTATTGTTCCTTGGTAGTCTGGCTCCTGTCATCAGCATCCTACTAAAATTACTCTCTCAGGGTCACTATGACAAACCAAATCCAATGGCCCTTTCATAGTGCTTAGTCTTCTATTCATCTCTGGAGTAGTGGGCACTGCTTTCAATGATCTTGAGCTTCTTAATCATGTAACAAATACATTTTAGAAGGCAATTAATTACAGTTCATGTTCATTGTATAAGCTGTATCAATCAGTGCTCACTAGAGGAACAGATTTAATATAAGATATATCAATATAAAAATGTTCAAAGTGGGCTTACACTGGGCCTGCAGAGCCAGGTATGGAAAGTACAGAAGAGCTGTCTGCATCCTGGAGAGCCAAGGGATTCAGTCAAAAGTCAAAAGCCCGGAGCTCACTGCAGAGTCCTGAGGGCATCCATACCAGAAAGCTGAAGGGTCTGCGGTAGAAGCCAGGAGATGGGTGTCCAAGATAGTGGAAAACACTGGAGCTCCTCCAAAGAAACAGAAGTGACTTGAGACTTCCTTCTTCTTTGATGTTTTGTTCCATTCAGGGTACAGCAACTTGGCTGGTGCCACTCACACCCAGGGTGGGTCTTCTGCCTTCAGTGAATCCCTTCAGTCACACTCAGAATATGCTAATTTATGCGTTCCTTATTCAAGCTGACACAACAATTAACTATGACATAAGCAAAATTATGTCACAAGAATCCTTCAGATCTTTTTTCCTCAGCTTCTGTGAAGGATCTTTGCTTGCCTCCTGCCCTTTGACCTGTTTTGCTTTATGTTCTCTGGGTTCCTTTTTTTTTCTTTGTCCCAAATGGAGGCATTGCCCAGGCAACTCTTCCTGGCCTTAGTCGTTTCTTCCTACACATGTTCGTTTACACCCAAAATTACTCTCCTTTCTGATCTGACCTCTTCCGCTAGTCTCTGGTACACATTCTACCTATCTCAGTATTTCCCTCTAGATTTTCTACCTGTACCTCAGACTCAAATATCATCAAAATGGATTTTGTTATCCTTCCATCAAGCCCCTCCTTTTAATATTTGCTAGTCTTAATTAATTCCACTCACTTTTCTTTCAGCAACTACACCAGAAATCTCAGTATTGACCACAGCATTCCTTTTGTACTTGTTCGGTGGAGGCGTTCCAGACCAGATCAAAGACTTGTATCCTCAGGAGACCAGGCTATTCACTAGGATCGCTCCCACTCCATACTTCTCTGGATAGTATAGGAATCTGAATTCTTTTTCTTCCTATGGGTACATTATGTTTTCCTCCGAAAAGCTCCAGGCTCAGTCAGTTACCAGGCTTTCTAATTCTCTAGTCTGTTTGGGGTTTCACGGGGCAGCATAAATGTCTTCATGGGAAGTTAATGCTGATTGGAAGACCTCCATTCCTCTTTATCAGAGCTTTAGCTTCTGTGCACTTGCGTCTTAGGAAGAGCCATGAAAAGAATTCTGCTTCCACAAGCACATTCCACCATCACCTTGTGAATGTGGTTTAAAGAGTAAGCAAGGGTGATACACAGAGCAGGAAATTTTCAATCATAGTACACAGCATTTATTGGAGAAGGCCTCTGGTGACTCAGTGATTTACAAGCAGCAGGCCATCAGCAGGACCAGTTCACTGAATTCTTTAGCTGTAAATGACCTTAGGGCAGTAGCCTTGCCACAGCTTCCACTGTGTCTTAGTTATTTTCTCATTGTTGGGACAAAATACCCAACACCTACAATTTAAAGCAGTAAAGGTTCAGTTTAGCTCACATTTTGTAGAAGTTTCAGTGCATAGTCGCCTGGCTCCAAGGCAGAGGGGCATTGCAGAGGAGAAATAATTCATAGCATGGCATGTAGGAAGCAAAGAACCTTCCTTATTCTCTCCCTTTTTATGCCAAGCCTACTCATTGGTATCAACAGCCAGGATGCATCCATCATTCCACAGAACCATGTTAGACCAAGCAGTGGACTAATCCAAATCACACACCCATGATCCAGTCACTCTCAAAAGCCCCACCTATAAGCATATTAGGCTATGGGAGGACATCTAGATATAAACCATAACACACTGATATATCTGCTATTAAATATGTGGATTTCACTTTTCAAAAAATGATAGTTTCCATCCATCTATGTGATTTTCAGCAAGAGTTATAGAGTGGAAAGGGTATGAGAGGAGAAAGAGAAAAACTAGATAGAAAAATGGTCAAAGAGAGGACAAAGTCCTCTATTTTAGGATTACTCAAATAGGGGGAAAGCATTCTATGTTATATATTTGAATACAGGGCTCAACCTCCCAAAAGCATTTATTTTCTTTTTAAAAGGCTACATATTTTGGCTACGTATAGTATTTTTTTTTAACTTTGCCATAAGTAGAATAAACTGAGATGCAAGCAATGGGATTAGCAGGGATTGGCAAAGGAGCTAGACAAGTCTTGAAAAAAACAGAGGCGATGTGTATTAAGACAAAAGAGCAAAAATTTAGATTTTACCCAGCTAAAGCTGGGTAAAATTATAACACTGAGATGAAAACAACTGAGAAAGCCAACAACTCTCTTTCAATGGTGTCCAAGGTATTGAACCATGTTGGAAATTATCTAACCCCTGTAAATTTTTTGTTTCTCTAGGTAAGAATAAAAATAATCCTGACAGATGTTCCTAGGTTCTGTCAGCAAATAACTGTGGGTGGTATTTATATATCTTCTCACAGCACTTTCAATTATTTCATGTGGTGCAAAGTTCTGAAATATAAGTGTCTATTTGGAATTAATTATAGTTCATTTTAATTTTGAAAACAAAGTGTGTCACAAGTGCATAGCAAGAGTATCTCTAAATCACAGAAATGTTTGAAGTTCGGGTGTCAGTGGTATGAGTGACAAGATATAAAAATTTCACTAAGTTGAACACATTTAGCAAACTTCTGAGCAATTCAAAGCCTTTGCTCAAATAAAAAGAAAATATGGATAACCACAGTAGAGTTTAGCAGTTCCTAAGTGTGACATCTTCCTGTGACAGGGCAAGAGCAAAGGCTGGGAACTGGAATCAGGACATTTTGTCCTCCGGTCTTGCATGATGGACTTCACAGCAGGAGGAAAATGAATGTTCTCAATATAAGAGGCTCTGGAGTTCCTTGGACGTCTGCTGCTGGAAAAGCTGCTGCCTTCACATTTTCTACACATTTTCTTCAGCATAATGTGAAGCAGAGGGTCAAGGGACACACTTGTGGCCTCTAATGGCCAGATAATGGACCACAATAAAAGTTATGTGTCCCCAGCTGGAGGTGAAGACCTATAATGGCTGAGAAGATCCATTATCTAACTATTAGAACCTAGGGCAGAAGGAGACAATTATTAAATCAAAGAAAAATCCATTTTCCCTTATTCAAGGAAAAAAACCTTTGCTGATGTGCTGTTTGTTGCCTTACAAGTTCCACTTTCATATTTAAATAGCAACAGTGATTGTAACAACAGCAAAAGCTTACTGGACAGTTACAGTGTGCTAATTGGCCTCATAGAGCACAGGAGGTATGGACTCTGACTCACCCAGTTTCAAAACTAGGCTTCAGCATTTATTGGGAGGAAGTTATCCGATACGTGTCTCAGACATCCAAAATGTAGAATGATGCTAGTACCAGTGTATGTTATACATGATCACCGAGGACAACGTGTATTAACTACGAGATAATGGGCAATGAGTATTAATGTTCTGATAATAGTCATTATTGACATTAATATATGGTAGATACATCATTTAAATCTCCAATCTACCCCACTTAATGGATTAAATATATAGAGGATGAAGAGCAGTTATTTAACTTGGAAGTTGGTAGATAGATTTTAAAAGATTCATTGGCCCGCTGAAAGAAATTGGAAAAAATTTACTTATGTGCATTCTGGTGAATGAAATAATTTCTACTCTCAAAAAAGCCCTTGACTCTCAAAATTCTAAGACCTCCTGGTAAGCTAAATATCACATATGATTTTAGCTCATTTTAGCAAGGTGATTATTGAACATGCATTTTAAAATCATTTCTTCTCCTGTGAATTACTTTTTTAAGTTCAATATTATGGAAAAATCTCAAATATGAAAAAAACATGCTGTCTGCTAAGTGCCAAAAATATGTACACAGATACCACAATAAATCATCAATTTTTCATCTCTTGTTGAAATAAACCTCTTTTTGAGACACATTTGAAAGAGACAAAGCAAATTCAGATTGAAAGGTGGGAAAGCTATGGTTGGACTGCCTTGGTAATAGTTCCTTAGTAAGCAATCGATAAATATATCTTTGGCCTTTTCACTTGGCCTTTGGGACCCTGGCATTTGAGTGGAGATTCCCATGTACATAATGGTATCATGATATCAATAACCCTTTTCTTTTCATAATGTACTCTAAAAGGGATCTACATACATCAACTCTGTTCCTCCCTTTGGATATAACTTGTCTGCACAGGGTCAGCCCCTGCTCAACTAATAAGGGAGGGTAGGAGCTACTGAAACACTTAAAGTGTATTTGTGAGCCCAGGGAAATCTAAAATTGTTGTCATTATAATTGAAAGGCTAAGTGTCACTCATTTTCCTCAAGGAGAATTATAATATAAAGGCTAAAAATGTATATTTGAAAGATGGGCTGCACAGGATAAAATCCCAACTCTGTAATTACTAGCCATGTAACCATGGGCAAATGTATATATCTGCCTCTGTACCAGCTTTCTTATCTGTAAAATGGGAATATATTTAATATTTACTGCATAGCAAATAGTTGTGTGAGGAGAAAGAATATTAACATATACAAAAGTCACTGGAGCAGTGACTGTAGTAAAAGAGCTATAAAAATTATTATGTAATCTATTTCTTACAGATTAAAAAGGAAATACCTGCTAATTCTATCTTACTGCTTAATGAACTTTACATTTAGGCAAACTGTGAATGTCTGATCTTCATTTTTAAATTTATATAAGAATATATTATATAAACCGATAATGATGTATGAAATCAAAAGTGTACTATTTGGGCTGTGCACGTATGTCACACTAAAACATATTAGGATTCAAATCCATTGACAAGGTTTGTTGCACACTGAATATTTCAAAATAATTTTGTGATTTACTCTAAGTAATTAAGAAGCCAATGCTTATTTGTGCAGCTGCTATATGGCACACAAGGAAAAATTGGGATTATATTGTTCCCCAAAGCAGGGATATTTTAGATATTCTTAGTTATCACTCTCTGTTCAGCTCTGAGAATTTTTAGGTTTTTTTCTTTTCGCAGTATCTGAATTGACCAGAATTCTGATTCAGGGAAGATCTGGCCCCATTACTGACTGCCTCACATTTGGAGACGCTCTGTGGAAGTTACTAAATATTAATGGAGTTTTGTTTTGCAGCATTTCTTTCTCAAATTTCTAGGCTTTTTTGGCTAGCTTTTAAATATTTTTAAACTGAATTTTCACTGTTATAATTTTTGAAGCATTGCAACATTTAGATGAGTCTCACATGGGTCTGATAAACCTTTATTTTATCCTTTCTTGCCAGGAATAGAAGATTTACAAAATCAGTATGTGTGAACATGTGCTTGCTCAGGTCCTTTCTATTTCGTCGCTTATCATAATGAG